AAAAAAACCACTCCATTGTGAGAGGTGGATATATGGTTTTATGTTTAGTGTGCAAACTGAAACCAATCATGTATGTGGGTGGAAAACTGGTGAAAAGTGAATCTTGGTGGCTTTTTAACATACCTACATAAATTGGTCTAAAGTAACCTGCTGCAGTTTCTCATTAAATTGCTTAGTAAGTTCAGCACACACGTTAATGTTTTTTTAGTTAAATCTCACAACTTTAAAGAAGGAGCAGGGAAACTTATACTAATACTCCACCTTTCTCCCAAGAAGTTTCCTATGGCGGTCTTATTGAGCCCCTCCTCTTTGTAAAGAAACTCTGCCACAGACTCTGCCCGCCATTCGAGAAGGCCATTTTCAACCAGGTACTGGACACCCTGAAGCAAGGGGGGAAATGGAAAGTCAGACATGTAAGAAATGAATTTGAAAACTAGGAGGACAAATTTTTAATCAGTGAATTAAATGTCTGTGGTGTGTTTTCATCGAGAAGGCAAATTAAGCAACAGGAAGCTTCGTGTTAAGTTTTGGCCACGGCTTTTAGTTCTTCTTGTCAGTGCTGCTAATTCTAACCTAGTTGAATCACACTTTAAAAAAGTTTTCTTCTTCTCCTTTTAAGATGTGAAGGGTTGAATGAATACCGCATGTTGTTATTGCTGCATCTCAAAAAGGTACTTAGAGACAGTTCTTCAAAATATGACTCTTAATTCTGAGTGCATACTCCTGCTAACCAAATCCACTTAGCACCCTTAACCCCAAGAAGACTATAAGCGTGTTATCCACCCACCTGTCTGCAGGCCTGAGCCCGCTCTGCACTCAGGCCTGCAGACACTCAGCTCTGAGCTGAAGACCCAGAAAGGAAGGAAGCAAAAAAAAAGAAAAAGAAAAAGATGGAGGTCGCAGTGGTGAAGTGGCGTCTCTGCCCCACTTCAGGGAACAGGATGTGGTTTTTCTCGCTTTTGCTCGAGTTGTGCGTCTGTGCCTGTGCACTGGTTGCACTTCTGAGCATCACATACACATCTCTCAACTCGACATCCGCTGTGTGTGGAGATATCTGTTACCGTGTTGCTGTTGACCTTCTGATACAGAGATGTTGAAGTGAGTGAAAGTAGAATTAAAACTTTTACTGTGACTAACAAAGTTTCCTTTAATCTCTTGAAATAAACAACACTGTGCATGTCAGAAGTAAATATAAAAGTATGCACTAAGAAATAGCACCATTTATGTATAATCTACAGGTATACAGCTCATGAGCAGTGACCCTACAGGTGTTGGCTCCTCCCCTTATCCTACTGGATAATGCTTGTGCCACCCACAATGGTTGGGTTACTGGATGAGGCACTGATATGCTGCTAAAAATTAAAGTTTAAAAATGCTGAAAAATAGAAACTATTATGTTAACAAACCTAGTCAAGGCTTAGGCACAAAGACAAACCTGTACATGAAGCCCAAGATGTGCCTTTAGTTCCTCTAATGGCCACTTGAAGGTGGCTTCAAATCAGTCCCCACAGACTCTCATGTTAAAATACTGACCTTTTCAAGAAAAATGATTGTTTGTCCGTGTGGATAGCTTCCCCTTCATATACCCTTGGTACTTGTCTTTATTTTAAGACATAAATTAGGCGTTTTAATGTAAAGTTATTGGAGTCAAAGGTTAAAATAACTACTTGGTTACAGTTGCAGGACCTTCATTATAATTCTTACATGACATCATGATAAAAGTGACATCAATATCTGAGGCTACTTTAACAGAAACAGCACTGACACCCTTTTACTACAATTTAGTTTGTAAAAGAAACACTGAGGATGACTTAAAACAGGGAAAATATAGCATATACTGATGTTTGGTTGACCCATCCATCTGTCTGGACCTCCACCCTAAACAGACTTTCTTGCTCTGATGTTTTTTGCAGTCATGTGACCACTGACCATGTGATGTTAAGGGTTAGTTTGTGAAAACCTCCTTGCAACTGGTTTGGTCTGACTAGTGGATTGCTAATTAAATGTTCACAAGCTGAAAATATTTATTTTCAGCTCATGTCGCACTCGTGTCACACTTTTTCAAGTTTTATTTCTGCTCAGTGAGTAGTTAGTGCGTGCTTCAGACTGGTATCTCCCATATAAACTACAGGCGACTACAGAAATCCATCTATAGCAACACCTAGCTTCTTTGTTTGCTCCTGTCACTGTCACTGGAAGATATGGAGTTTTTAAAAAAGTCTTACAAAGGATTGTCTTACTTTGTAGATTAAATAAAAAATCTTTCCTTAATGTATGAAAAATGTGTACACACAAATATGATATCAACTCACTTTTTTGGAGTCCATGTTAAATTTCTTTTTCCCACGTAGGAATTTCCTGTTCCTCGCAACATTTTTACTGCAACAGAAGACAAAAAATGTTGCAATGTTATAAATCATAAAGTTTTGTAGCTCATTTTGTTGTTTATTTTGAACTGAGAGCTGTGTTTGTCTGTTTTTTCGTGTTGAATATGAGGAGCTGGATTAATGTTTGGTTTCCTTTACTTCAGCAGTTTTTGATTTACTAAACATAAATAATACATATATTGGTATAAAAGACAATGAAAAGTTAACTTTGTGACTGATCAATGTTCAAGTTAAAATAAATCATTTTTTCTGTGAATTCATTTATCACACTCCAAACTACTTTCCGATAACGAGCGCTTTGTGATAAGTGGTCGGTGTTTTTGTGGCGTGCGTGCAGCAGTACTCAGAAACTGAGGTTGCGATGCCAGTAATGCAGCTATGTGTAAATGTAGTGTCACACTAGACTATTATCGCCTCATAAGTGCAACAGCAAAAGGCAGAAACTCCAAATAAGGACTCCCCATAGTGTCAAAAGACATTTTTCTCTCCAAATTTCTGTGACTGTAAGCGTGCTCATTAACTTTGTTTTATTACAGCTGGTGCTTCAGTTCGTGCCGGATCACAGTGTCTCCTCCAAAACACATTGTCTCTAATTACCAGCCTCCAAAGATGACTAAAAACTTTTGAAACATTTAGCAAAATAATGGGTAAAAGGTTAAAATAAAGGGTAGCACAGATGTGAAGTACCTGAATTAAACTGTGTGGATTTGTTTTAAAAGGAAAGCAGTAAAAATTGCTCTTTGTGGAACAATTTATGGAGAAAGTGATTGCAAGTGTCAAGTGAAAAGGCTTGACAAGCAAATTAAACAGAGGGAGTAGGTGGCCCCTGCCCCTCCTGACTGCTCAAGGCCACCACCAGCATATAGGTTATAAAATACATCTCCGTCTGTGACATTAAAGGCATATACACGTTCATTTTGGTCCAGTATTATTAGTGAGTCCCAATGTGTGGACCACAGCCCCCTGTAGGGTGGTTTAGGTACTGCATATGAGTCGGGAAAGGTTGTTTAAATCACTGTAAAAAAAAATTCTAATTAAATATTTCCAACAAAAAGCAAAAATAAAAATGAAACCATTTTATATCGTGTAAACGATGGACGTAGCTACACCAGCCAAAAGTTTGTGAAATCTCTTTATGAAGTCGCAATTTGAGCTTTTGGGTTTCTTGAACTACCAGCTAGCTAAAACAAGAGCTGAATCTGATGATGAAACTGTGCTTTTCTTGGCGAATAACTCATCAATCACAAATAAATACAAGATGACCTGAAATTATCAACTAATGAGCTCATCAGGAAAATATTCCCTGGGAGAAAAAGAACTGAGAGCAGTTTTCCAATGGAAAATCCTTGTGTGAGATTGAAAAACTAATGGTTGTCAGCTGGTTGCCAGCTAGTTGTATTGTGGTTATATTCTTATTTAAAAGCAAAGGGTTTCCCTGATGTGACAAAAGTATCACTTAGAGATGCAACTAAATGTTTGGGCCACAGAATATTTACAGATTACATAGTGGGCTTTGGGATTCTAAATATGGGAATGGTTGGTCTGAAAAGTGGCATCCTGGTCTAATTGGTGGTAAACCTAACACTAACAACCTAAAACAGTTAATCCGATTTGTTTATCAGGCTTGTGCAGTGCATCATCACACTGAAATGCCCCTGCTTCTGACTTGGTCAAATGCAAATCTGAGTAAAGGTGGCTGTGCGACTGAGCATTACGTGTGGTGTAGGAGACTAAGCTGAATCAAAGTGTCGCTTAAACAAGAGGAAGAAGCCATGCTGACTCAGAGAATAGCTGCTATAAGAATGCTTGTCCTCATACTCACTTCTGCTCCTTCAGTTCAGGGCTGTGGATTTTAGGCATGATGTGATTGATCTCCAATCTAAGTTTCTGCAAGAAAGAAGGCAGTGACGTTAGAGAAAGACCAAGGTTTGGTGTTACATCACAGATACTCGCAGACTCAATGATTCATGGTCAGTTTGTCGGCTATTATAAAGCAGCCTTCAAATCCTTCATATCTCAATTAAATGTTATGTATGAATGGCCTTTTGTGCGCTATGAAAAACTCTGCCGAGGCTGCTAGGAGTGGGTGCATACAGCAGAATAACGAGGCATTTTAATGAAAGACCTTAGAGGAAAATATTCACCGCAGTACCTGAATGTCATCCAGCAGCTCAAACTCATGCGCCTCACCCTGCCTCCTCGCTTCTGGTGGGAGTTTGATTGGAGCTGTTGGGTGACAGAAAGCATCAGTTACACTTCAGGATGGGGATAAATACACTTGATAATGCATTAATTAGCCATGCAACTCTGTGGACTGTCTTGACAACCCCCCCGCCTGCTCATTTTCACACACATTCATATATCACACCTTCACCCTTCACAGGTTAAAGAAGTGGTCAGTCAACACGCTTAAAATAGCTGCTTTTCTTCCTCTTTTGAACAAGAAGGGTTACTTTGAGTGCAGTGCAGCCACTAAAGCAGAATTTAAGTCCAAGTAATTTTTTTATAACGTTGTAAAAAAGTTCAGTTTCCTCCCTAGGCAAAGACATTATTGTGCATCGAAAGTAATATGAAAATAGCATGATATTCAAAGCAGCAGTTGTAAGCAGTTTGAGTTCTAAACTAAACCACACAAATAGTCAACACAAACATCATCAAAACCACTTTTAGTTTAAAGAAGCGGCAGCTTATGACAACGATTGAAAGTAAAAGATTAATAGGCATACCTTTTCCCCAGAGGAAGCTGTCTTTTCTGCGTATGGCCATGTTGTTGATGGTGCAGAGCGACTGACGGCTGCACAGGAAACAAACTCAGTCAGAGTGAAAAGAGGGCCGGCGCTGCCATTCGGAGACACAGCAGCGACACTGGAGGCGCTCCAGAGCTCAGCCAACAGCACCGCTTACAACTCGTCTGATGATGTGAAACATGGTAAAATGCCCATTGAGCAACAGACAGCTCATTCATGACCTTATCGCTATTACACGTTATTACACAAACACTGCAGCTGTGACCACTAAAGATAATGTCATAACATCAACAGGATGAAATCAGGCATTTTTAATTTAAAACAACGGCGATTTTTCTGAGGTGGTGGAGAAGACATTCAAATGCACTGCTTTCACAGAAGCACTCCAGTTTATGAATATTGGATCAGCAGCTAATGCTTAAGCTATTAAAATATTTGTTAATTCAAAAATGACTGAGGAATGCTGATAAAAACGCATAAATGACTTAAATCTGAGGAACTCAAATTGCTGACAGGAACGATGTAGGCTGAAGCTTTCGCTTAAAACACCCACACTTCATACAGAGGATATTGTAAATATGTATTCTGCACTGCAACACTTTTACAACTAAAGTTCACAAAAAAGAAAGAAAAAATGAAAAATGAAATGGCCTTCACAGAAGCACACTGTGTTAGAAATAAAAATATGAAAGCCAGCTGCAACATGGACGTTACTAATGTGTCCTAATCATGAGGGTTTTTTTCTGTTTTCATTTGGATGTGCGCGAGTGTCCTGGAAAAGCTTTAAAGCCTTCGCATGAGTTATGAAGTGCACCAATAGCACAACACGCCACTAGCAACGCCAGACAGTGTAAATGTGAATGAAAATATGTTGCCTGGTTCATAATAGTGCAACAAAGGTTCTGTGTATTATACTGTTATATGTATATGCAAAGTGGTTATATATACACACACACACACACATAACATATAACGTACTGTAGCCTCACAGTAAGATGGTTTTGGGTTTGAGTCATGCAGACATGCACTTACTGAGGTTACATGTGGGCTAATCGGAGAGTCTCAGTTGGCTGTAAGTTTGAATATGAGTGTAAATGGTTGCCTGTTTCTTTGTGTTAGCCCTGTGACAGACTGGTGAGGGTGTACGCTGCCTCTCGTGCTAAGACAGGCTCCAACCTCCACCCTTAATTGGATAAGCAGAAGAAAATGAATGCACATATACATAAAAGTATAAGAATAACTATTGCACGTTAGATTTCTCTGTTGTAAAGCTTCGTTTTGACTACATGGAGCAGTCCAGTCATTTGTAGCGCTGGTGGTTTGGGGGCATGTTTAGTGATTCGCTGCAGATCCTGTGGAAAGAGAAGACCCAATGATCATCACTGTCGTCACCACGCGCTGCAGGGACTTCCAGTTAACCGTCCCGACATCACAGATATGCACAGGGTAGGTCATTTCTTCTCTATCAGCACAAAAAGAGCAGATGCTGCTGTGACAAGGACAGGATATGTGTTATCTGTACGACAGCCTCCACTGTGGTGTTGTTGACAACATGTAGTGTGCAGCTATGCTGGCTTCGGATTTCAACGATGATCTCTTTGGTTTAGTTGACATTCTGTTCCAAGTTGTTATCAATGCACCACTCCATAAGTGCAAGGATTTGCTCAGTTTTTCCAAACCCTTTATGTTCAAGAAAAATATAAAGTAAGTAAGAGGATTACCCATCCGTTAAGTGGAGAGAACGCACGCAGACATGAGAAGAACATGAAAAAGGGCCAAAGCCAGGACTCAAAACAGGAACCTTCTTAGGCAGCAGTGCTAACCACTGCCCACCGTATCTGGAAATTGTAGCAGTTAAAGATGCAAAATGTAAGACTGATATTTAAAAAAAACAAACTGTTAATGACAATCAGAAATTTTCAGCACAATGTGAAGTGAAATGGTGTGATGTTACATCAAAGAGGTCTGTGTCAGGAAAGTTGTTCAGGGAGAGAAAACACACAGGGAGGTACTGCAAAGTGAGCATAATGGGCATCCACGTATGTGAAACACGCTGTCTAACCTTGTTAGATCTCCATGGTAACCTGTACTGAACCCATAACCCGACGTTGTTTGACTATGAGCCTTTCTGGTAATGCCCCAAAAACCTTTAAAAAAGGTTAATTTATTTTAATTTCATGCCTAATAAGGTGCAAAATATTTGCGTCACAGGAACCTAAAAGTGAAAATTTTTTTACAGGAGAGGGAGAGAAAATGTACTTTCCTCTGCCGCCACATCACAGCAGCGAGATGAAGCATCAGCTACGTTTTCATCTGCATGAAGGCAACACTTGAAAAGAGCAGACTTCTTTCATTTTTAAATATGAGGCCCCACCTAGTGGGATGTCACGTTTCTAAACACCAGAGATTGTTGCTATATTTCAGTGTGTCAGTACTTTTGGACTCCTTCAGCCTCGACAGCAACAAGTTTTCTATTTTTAAAGAAAGACTGACATAAGTCCTAAAAAGTTTATAAATGTTCAGTTCTTCAAAAAAGAAATTCTGATTCAGCAGAAAAAGGAGGAAGCAGAAAGAGACAGGCACTTTAAGCAGCTGATATGTTGCTTCTTTTATTTCCTTCAACCATACGGTGTATGGAGTGTATGGCTGTGGTAATAAAGGACAATTTTACACAGTTTTCAAGCTGTTGGACAACAGTGGAGCTCTGTGGACACTTCGGATAAACAAAAAACAGTGATAAAGATATTACGAGGCAGAAGATATGCTACACAGTAAATTTAATTTATCTATTTCATTATGAAAAGCAATACTTTTGGAGGATATACAGTAAATAAGTTGAATTTTTCATTCAACCGCTGACGGGAAGGTCTAAAAAGTTAATGTTTCAGTAATTTTGTTTCAGGACGTCAACTGTTTCTCTGAGGATTCTTTTTTTATTAGAGGAGCGAGATTAAGACTTGAGAAGAGGAAGGACAGATCTACAAGAATCTGCAAACTGAGTAAACTGAGAAAGGGGGAAGTTACCAAAATAAATTATTGAGAAGAAACAAGGGAACTAAAGCAAAGAAACAAGGAAACAAAGACAGACAAGGAGAAATTGGGTGACCCTGGGAAATAATTATAAAAAGATGTTATCAATAAAACTCCACACTAACACTAATAAAGATGACCTTCATGCTTTAGACTGCTTTAAACACTGCGCTTCTCCTCCTGGATCGGACATACTGTTGTGGGGTGTCAAACGTATTATAGTTCCTGGGCCACCTGCAGTCTGATTTAACCAAGAAGCTCTAGGCTGTAAAACTGCTGAATAATAAATGATAACATTTTCCCCCTTTTTAAGTGTAAATAAGTACTTTCTGAGAACTTTTGCATGCAATGATTCATCAGCAGAAGATAGCTGAGGTCAAGTAAATGTAATTTTAACAATATGTGTCACTTTTTCCACTTTTCCACTCTACTGTCATTACGAAAGAGATGCTTCTGTCATAACCAGAAACCAAGCACCTCAGTGCAGCTCCCTGACTTGTAGGAAAAATACAGTGAAAAGGCTTAAAAACGATGTCGACATAGTCATACACTACAGAAGTATACAGTATGTCATCAGACCTCCAGCTCCTTCGCTCCATGACCTCAATAAACACGTTCTTACCAGTTTATGTCTTGTTTAACACATTTCCTAAATTAAGGTCCTCATTAGAGTCAATAAAGACTCAGTGCCAAAAGATTCTTAGTCACCAAACACCAAGATGATGATGGTAAAACACAGTCCATGTCTAAAAGGTCTTATTGAAGGGAGAGGATGAACTGAGGGGCAGCACTAAGGTCCAGCATAAGATTCATGTGAATTAATTTAAGCTGTGACTCATGAGAAGCAACTTTATTCCAGGAGTCCAGATGCAATTGAGGCCCATAGGTCAACTTTAATGTGGAACAAATGGCAAAATCTGCAAATAGACAAAAACAAGTCATCGAGTGTGCGGAGGTGGATTTTTCTGTGCAATAAATCAGATATATCTTAGACCTCGTGAGTCAGGATCATTGTCTTTTTATAACCTTTTGCTCTGTGATTCACTTACTGGGACTCTTCATAGTTCCTCTTTGTTTTCCTCCACAATAAAAGACAAACTATCCAGTTTTTAGAGCCACATTTGCTGTCAACAGAATATTCCCTCACAAAGCACTTTATCAGGACCAGTAGTCAGCCAGTCATTTGGCAGGGCTTCACAACATAAAACCTTCCTTCAGTTAACATGATTCTGGCATGACTGCTGGCAGCAGATAGGCTGGTTTGCGAGAGTTCGGTCAGAAAGATGGATGAGCAGCAGTTGTTTGGATGGACACTCTTTGCTGATGCCAGAATTCAGAGGTGTTCAGCCCCCTTCCTTCAGAGAAAAACAGAAAAAACAAATGTGAGTCTGCAGTGGGCACAGGCTCACCTTCTAGCGTTAAAGTTTGGTATTAGCAGCATGAATGCACAGCCTGTAATGGGACTGACCCAAAGCTGCAGTTCCTCTAATAGCCACTTGAGGCTGCTGCCAAATGTTAAACCCCACAGACATTAAATTTCGAGGCATACTGAGAAAAAGGAGTCAATTTTATAAATGTTGGTCATTCTAAGTTTCAAAAATGAGGATCATTTAGATTATGCTCACATCAAGTTTCAACACAAAGATGATGATGGCAAAAATCCTCGGGGCTTCAAACACCAATGGATGATGTCATGATGGCGACATTCATATTATCTTTTTCATCTGCCTCTTAAATCTGACATCATTAGCCGTCATCGAGAGTTTAAAACTGTCTAAATTCCTTCATTTGTAATAAAATGATCAGTGTGGCTGCTCTACCAGGTGTATCAATAAAGTTTAACATCCAGGAGTCCATGAACAGAAGTTAGCATTTAGTTAGCTTCCAGTTTCCATCTAAATATGATATACTATGAGGGATTTCTGAAAGCCTAAAATATACAGCTCTGCTATCACTTTGGATAAAATGAAGAAGGAAAATTAAGCAGCAAGGACGTTTGTAGGGTTACTGAAGTTGGGCCAGCTGGCATATAATGGTACGCTGCGTGTTGGCTAGCTAAAGAGCTATGGTTAGGATAT